GCCCCAGCCAGTTGCAGATTGGCCTTCTCCAAGGCCCTAGCAGTCACCTTTTGGTGGTCATTGGAGACCTCCACTTTCTTGGTAAGGGAAGCCACCTCGCCCAGGGACTCATAGAGCTCCTTCTTCAAAGCCTCGATCTGGGCCAAAGCAGACTCCAGCTTGGCCACATCTTCAATTTTTTGGGCCCTCACTTTCTTTGCCTCGGCCCTGGCCTTCTTCAGCTCCACCTTCTTCTTCAAGGATTGGGTCCTCGTCTGAAAATCAGTAAGGGCCTCCCTGCACTCCAATGAGAGGCCAAGGGTTCTCACACTTTGGCTCACAAGGGCTTTGGTCAAGTCCACTGCGTCGCAGGAAGAAGCGTGCAACTGCCACCGGTCCGTCCAGAATTTGTAGAAGCTCTCAGTAGCGCTTCGGATCTCGGCTGGCATAGCCTCCACCAACGTGAAGGCCAGGACCTTCTCCCTCCCGACAAGGAAGTTCGGAGATTTCCCTTGCACCCTTGCGGGCCTCGGCTTCACAGCTTCACCCTCTGCCTTCTCAGTTGCCCTCCTCGTAGCCTCTTCTTTAGCCTCCTCAGCCTTGGCGCATCTCACCATTTCAATCTTTACCACTTTAGAGGTGGCCTCTAGGAGCTTAAGGTGAGGGGTTTCTTTTCCTTCATGGGACACAGAGGTCCCGAACTTTCCAGATGAGCTGGTGACGTGCACCAGCTTCCTCATCTTCTGCTCCTTGGGGACCTTCTCCTTTCCCCGAGGCTCTTTGGCCTTCTCCGGCCTCTGGGGGGTCCCCTCCTCAACACCCTTGGAACTGCTATCTTTGGAAAGGGGGGTCCCCTCCTCAACACCCTTGGAACTGCTATCTTTGGAAAGGTGCTCCACCCTCCCCTGAACCTCCTTGGCACCACTTGACCTCGATTTCAGGGGCCTCACCGTCACATTGGATGTGGCCCTAAGTATCGAGGCCATGTCTGGGGCTGGGTACTCCCTCCTCTTGAACTTGTCTGCAAAGCATGTTAGTACATCAACATCAAAACAAAAAGCAAGGAATACACAAGTATACAAGCCTCTTACCTTTGGAGGCCATCAATTCAAAGTCAATGAAGTAGCGACTTCGATCGATGAGATGGTCGAAGTGCCAAAGTTTCAGAGGTCTCTTGTAAATGTCTTCTATCACTTCAAACTCCTCCTTGCTCAACTCGAACCTCATGCTACTATCTGCACAGCAAGCCTCAACAATTAGAAAAAGAAAATTTTGAATACAAAATATAAACTACTTAGGCTGGGAGACTCACGAGCTTCATAGTATTGGGTCAATACTGTGCAAGCCAAGGCAATGTCCCCCTCGACTGCCTGCCACCTGTCCCTCACCCAGAACCACGATTCCTTCCACCCCTTGATGGAAGAAGGCAGCCCCACCACAAATGGTGCGTGGGTTCCTCATGGAGTTAAGTAATACCACCTCCTTGACTCCTTACCTATCATCCTAGGTTGGAACAGGGTCATGAAGACGTGGAGAGGCATGTCCTCCCCAAGCGACACTTCCTTTCACAGGAAGTACGATCCAACCAACTGGCTCCACCCATTTAGCAGAATCTGGGTCGGTGACAACATAAAGTTCCTCAACACCGCCCTAAAGAAGGGGTGCAGAGGAAAACGCATACATACCTTAGACAGGTATTCACTCACCGCCACGCATCCAGGCCTAGGATAGCAGGCGCGCTCATGAGCCTCGGGCACCAACATTTTGACATAATGAGGTACACAGTACCTCTCCCTGATCTCCCCCAACCTCTTCAAGGTCATATTTGAAGGCACTTTGGACGCCCCCCACTCCTCACTGTAATCTACTGGCTCCTTGGTCATAGCATATTGCATGACCTCGGAGTCCCCTCTGTGACTCGCCCCCTCGTCGAATGACGCAATAGTTACTAATTCCCTACCCGAGGTGGACTCCATATCAGAAAAGGATGAACTCAATACAAGGGATTTTCTGTGAAAATACCTATGGAAAATGACTACGCGGACGGAGTAACGCCAGAAAACGAGAAGATCGACTGTTTGGACGCCAAAAAACTTGAGCTTTTGAAGAAGAAATCAGATTGCAAAGATTGAGAATCCAGAAAAATTGGGGTCTCTAGCCTTTTATAAAGGGCTAGGATGAACCTTAGCAGTTTGATCAAAGCCCATTGAATCTGGACCCTTCATTCTAAAGCAAATCCGAGGTGTAGAATTCAAACGATTTTTCAAACCTACGCTTCAGATTCAAGCGTGTCCTTCACACACCTCCCCAAACGCGTCTACTTCTAGAAGCTCCAGCTGCGCTCATAATTACGACTTTAATTCGATGGCAGCAAACGCCTTGGAAGTTGAACGGTCCAGCCACCTTTCCTCGAAAATATGCACAAAACATCAAATCATTGGCACAACTGTCGAGAAAAAATCAATACCAATAAGCCTAAGAATTCAGCCTCCACAAGCCTTGCAAATTCGATTTTCAACAACCTCAGCTTGCTCATCAAAAGTTAGACACCAAACCTCGTAGGTTCGGTTTCTCAAACCACCTCGGCTTTTTCATCAGAATTCAGCCTCCACAAGCCTCGCAGGTTCGGCTCTCACCCACCTCGGCTTCCTCATCAGAATTCAGCCTCCATAAGCCTTGCAAGTTCGATTTGTCAACCATCTTGGCTTCCTCATCACAATTCAGCCTCAAGTCTCGCAGGTTCGGTTATCACCTACCTCGGCTTCCCCATCAGAATTCAGCCTCCACAAGCCTCGTAGGTTCGACTCTCAAACCACCTCAGCTTCCACTTTTTAGAACAATTTTCGTCATTCTTCCACAACGGTACATTTCTAACTCCAACGCTGATATAAATATCTATACTTGGACTTGGGGGACTATTATTTAGGGTCCAAAAATTTCTTTCAACCTAACTGGCTGGCCATACTTCATCAAAGTCCTCGCATTACATAAATGACTATACTTGGACTTGGGGGACTATTATTACTTGTTTGCACACTTGGGTAACCCACCGAGGCCCACAGCCAACTCATGCCGAACCACGTGGTACTGAAGTCGAGGTGATTTGCATAGTCGAGGCCCACAAATCGAGGTCCACAGAAGCCTATGCCCATAAATACCGAGGCCTATCTATCATTGCCTCTTGAGTTTCGAAGCCCATATGCCGAGGCCCTTTGAAAGTGGACGAGGCCCTATTGGTCGAAGCTCTGTAGCCAAGGTAGCAGCCTCCGAATCACAAAATAGCACCTTCCATAGATGCTTCTCCCAAGAGATCCTCTGCACAAATATCTTTCTTGAATGATTGATATGACGTTTATCATGAGTGTAATGTTAAGTCTTGTCATTAGTAGATGCGGTTCTGCCAATCAATAAATGTATGGCAGGTTAGGTGCAGCTGATGCCTACAATTTGACATTTAAATTAACCGGATGAGGCCACGTGTACCCCAAACCAAAGGTCACAATCTAACTTGTGAAACTATAAATACTTCCCCATGTACCCCATACAAAGGCTAATGCAAGAGTCAATACAAGAAATCATACTTTATACAACTCTCTTTTTCTTATTATCTTGCAACACAAACGAGTTCATACATATTTAGATACACATTTACAAACATCGATTGGTAATTATTGTACAATCGATCTACGAACATCCCGCCAGATTCCGAACGTTCTCGTCCCGCACCGTTGAGCTACTCCCACGCCTTCGATCCATTCGTTTTAGACCGTCCACGTGCCTTACCGTGTTGGATTTTCGCTCACGTGTGCGCAGGTGGGTCCGACATCTATTGGCAACACTTTTTGGGGTCAACAGTTTTCATAACCAATTTTGTTGCACAGTGTATTCCATTTTATACAATTATGTTATACACAATTCATCACCTCGTTTTCATAACCACCTTCACCATCATCATCAATTATAACATAGTATGTGACACGTTTTGCGACTATTTCAACCGTTACTATGACACTGACCACCACCACTTTTAACATTTATTGTTGTATCATTACTGTTGACACACCACTTTTAATAACTATTGTTACACCACCACCGCGAGCCATTGCTGCAGTCAACATCGTCGCTGTCACCACCACCACCACTTGTAACATTCAACGTTACACTGTCGTCACGGTTGAATCACCACCCACCAATATCACCATCTTTTACATTCCATTTCCACTATTTAAAAAACAACCAGACCACCACCAGCTCCAACACGTGCCACCATCACCTTTGCTATTCATCGCGCATAACCAATAGACAAGAGACGAGTGAATTATTCAAATAGTCACTGAACTTTGAAAAAGGTTTTCACGGGTCTTTGAACTTTAAAAATTATCTAATTCATCACTAAACTTAACAAAAAAATTTCACGAGGTCACTGAACTTTAAAAATCATCCAATTCATCACTGAACTTTGCAAAAGGTTTCCACAAAACTTTTGCAAAGTTTAGTGACTATGTGGAAACTTTTTGCAAAATTTAATAATGAATGACTTGATTTTTAAAGTTTAGTGATTCCGTGGAAATCTTTTACAAAGTTCAATGATGAATTGGGTAATTTTTAAAATTCAATTATCCTGTAAATTTTTTTTGCAAAGTTCAATGATCATTTGGACAATTCACTCACAAGAGACATTACAATTAAAATACAAGATATGATATGTAAGTTTAGAATTTCAGAAGAAAGCAAGATCGTGGGTGTAATGGATTTGCGGAGAAAATTTATGCAAATCATGATTCTAAATATGAATTTTATTGGGGTTAACCTACTTGTACAACACCTTTTGGTGCTGTACACTTACAGTCCCCTCTCTGTAGAGGGGGTCCATGCCCATTTTTTTAATCGGTAGCTCCCTCAATGTGAGGGGATTGTGAACCGAGTTGTGTGTTGGTCCATTTTATTAATATATATAATTTTTCATTTTTGAAATATTCTTGCTGGAGTGACAGAAAATTTGGCCAGCATGGGCCTGTCACCAAAATTCTGTCCAAATTTTCTGTTTGATAGTTTTATTGTTTCTGAAATTCAAATTAATATTTACCCACCGTTGTAATGAAAGGACACCTCTCATTCCTTTCACCATAATCTTTACCTTCTCAACGAGAGGATATTCCGAAGATTTAATCATTAGATTTCAGTATATTGCATTTCTTTTAGGATTCTCGCCTATAAAACCCTAATCCCACCCAACGCTCCAAAAAATTTCAATGGCGTTAACTAGAAGCGTCGACTGTCAATTGAAATTGAAGGAAAATGATTCAATTCGGAAAAATAATAAAAGGAAACGATTTTCAAGCCAACAAAAATCTTGGCCACGAATGGGAAACAATATTTGGCTTCGGGTCTGTTAGGAATTCGAATTCCAAGAAGGTAATACGCTATACATAGACGTATATGTGTTTAATCCCGTTACTTTTTATCTAGGGCATTGTTTAATTTGTACGTTGATTAGGCACTGTTTACCATGTAATTTTACATTGGGGGTGGCTTCAATATGTTCTTACTTATTTGTTAATCCCTTAACTTTTTGAATTACGCTATATTCTATATGGGTTTTCCTCTACTTGGCATCAATTTACGTTGAACTATGTGAATATGTGTAATACTTCTCTTCTATGCATTATTTCTGATCCTTCTGTAATAGGGCTGCTTGTTGGGATGTTGCTTTATTCTAATTTTTAGATTTTCTTGCGTTCAAGTTGCAATTGTACTTGTATTGTTTTTCGAAGAAACATTGTGGCTTCTTGTTCAATTCTATGTATTTAGGTTTTAATTATTTTATCGATTCTCCAGTTATTTGATTTAATATTTGTTCTTTCCGAAATTAGTTTAAAGATCCATTTTTTATTTGTTTTTATGTCTTTTCAACTTTTCATTGCGTGGTTGGCAATATATCATCTCCTCAGCCAACTGGTTTCTGAGGAAAATAGCCATTTGTTCTACCACCAACTTCATCATGAATTGGTACATAACCTGATTAAGGAACAAGGGATAGTTTTAAAGATACAAGAATTTCATACTATATTAAATTTAATGAATCTCATTTCAGCCTTAGTTGATAGACTATGTATTGATGAGTAAGGTTAAGCAACCGAATAAAGAGATAATGTGGTTCAAGATTACCGACAGATACATCAAATTTTCTTTGCCAGAATTATACTTTGTCATCGGTCTAGAATCAATCGGAGATTATGACGGGAAGAAGTATGGAAAAAGATCTTCAAATTTCAGCATCGCATACTAGAAATTTTGGATTTTAAAAAATGCTGGTGTGAAAGATGTTTTAATCGGCGTAGACGGTGCATCTGACTATGATGCCGTGAAAATAGGCATTTTATACCTGTTTGCATCTTACTTGTATGTAACTCATAAAAGAAAATGGTTAACAAATCTATTTTTGCTCTTGTTGAAAATTTCAATGTAATGGAGATGATTTTATGGAGAAAAGAAGATGTTCAAGACCACACTATCATCAATTAGGAAAGGACTGAAATAGGGCTGGTCACTACCATATGAAATGTTTTTTGATTACATATCGAGTAGTACGAGTCAGTTCTGAGTCTGAATGGAACATTTGCACAAGACTTCATCGATGGTGGCCCTGCATCATGAACTGGACTGGCAGAGAAGCATCCATCGGTAGCCATGCTGGAGGAGGGAGTTTTTTTCAAACCTGATGTAAACATTTTAAATACGTGACTATTGTTAATTCTTATATTTGTTGAGTTTCACATTCTGTTGAAATTAATTTTTTTTTTTTTTTTTTTTTTCCCTCTTGTAGATTGAAGTTAAGGATATTGATCCTTTGGGTATTGAGTTGGTGATGGGATATGACTGGAGTTACTTATATGTCCCCTCAATAACCATATTTGATCAAGTATGTTGATGTTGAAGAACACCCGTGCAAAGTCTCAACATGAATTCAAACTCCTCATTAAGTAGCACTGTATGAATCTATTATTTTTTATTTTACCGATGCATTTACCTTTTTAACTAATTGCAAGAGGATGTTCTGGACTACTAATTTGTATTCTATGTAAATGTTGTAGCATCTGGATATATGCTTTTATTACATCCATCAATTGGCAAGATTCGAGGATAATGCTCAAATGCATTTTTGAGTCTAGGTATGTTTATTCCAAGTTTCTTAAAGATCCATCTATTTTTTATTATAAAACGGCAAACATGACTTCCTGACCAACAAAATAGGTAAATACTGATATATACTAGTCAATTTCATTTGCAATGCCAAATGGCGAAAGGGGATGGTGAATTAGCCTTTAACAAAAGCTTTTCTCCATGAGTTTCATAAACTCATTAAAATCGATAAGACCATCGCCATTTTCATCAAAAGCTCTAATCATCCTTCTGCATTCTTCCAATTCACACCCTTCCTTTAGGTCAAGGCTGCACATAACTCTCTGCAGCTCATTAGCATCTATGAAACCATCTTTATTTACATCGAAAACATCGAAAGTTTCCATAACTTCTTGCAAACTTGGTTCTTCATCAAATAGTTCTGAAAACTCATCTAAACCAATATTCGTCTCTCCATCTTCTGCACACACTATATTCAGCCTATTCATCACCATATTAAGCTCTGCAATGTGAAAGTTTTCGCTGTTTGAGGTCTCGGGAATTCTTGATTCTTTGTTTGATTGTTCACTGTTAAATGCTTTGGATTTCCTCCAAAAGTTCCATTTGGCGGATAAAAACTCTGGAAGAGTTTGGAGAAAGAAATGGACTCTTGAAAAGAATTTCTCAATGTCCCAACAAAGAATTCTATTTAGTAAAACGATCAAGGATGAAATGATGTTTGCTTGTGTCAACTCCATGTCGAAATAAATGACACTTCTAATTTTTTTCGGGGGGTGGAGAACATAAGCTTATATGATTTCTCTTGTCATCGCAACATGCTGGTGTTTATATAGTATACCTAAGGGATTAGGTTAACTTTGACAGTGTCAGATTATTACATAAGAAATTTTGGGTTTGGTCTGTGTTTGTTTGTGAATCATGAGAATGGGAAGTTCAGGATTTTATGCCTCAAAATTTCCATGAAATTTTAACGATGGAACACATAGAAAAAAAAATATTCTCTCTTTCAGAGGGTCTGTGTGAATGCGGATGGCCTGCTGAAACACGCATGTAAAAGGGATTAAATTGTTATGGAACTTTCTTGGAAATATTATTTCATTGTTCAAAGTGTTTACATGAAATTTCTCTGACTTTAATCCTACGTATGTTTCTGACTTAAATCCTACATTTGTTTTGATTACATTAGGTCACCAACTTCCTAGACCTTCCGACACTGGGCAGACATCAGCTCCCATACATGGTCTTACGTGGTAACTTTCAAATTTAGAAAAACCCTGGAATTAATAAAAATGGGCAATCCTGAGCCAAATCTTGTTTTCCCAAACTAAAGCTTTTCTCTTTTATTCTGTACTAATTGCTGTGGCTTAGTGACATTTTTGGAGTAAGGAGAGGGGTAAGATTAAGGATGTACATTCGGCGTGGCTCACATTTTGGAGGTCTAGTTGACATGACTTAAAATTCTTGTTATGTTAGCTGACAGATTAATTTTCTAACGAAAATGATTCCTCCTCCAACATTGTTGGGTTGACTCTTTAGTCTTTAACTTCTATGGAGTACTTTGGTGTTCGTCTAGCTTTGACGAACATTCTAGTCTTAGTGTTCGTGAATTCGTCAGGTGCAAACTTCGACTCTACACGTGTCTACGAATTCATTAGACTCCGACTCTGCACGAGAGACATTTAGTTCAAAATGCAATCGTATTGAAGTGCTAGCACCGTTAACATCTACATACAATGTGTGAAATTCCAACTTTATTATTAGGATTATGCTACTTGTACATAAAAATAGTATATAAGGGGTTACATAAAATGATGTGGAGGGCCTTTCGGGACATAGTCCAGTGGTGCAAAGGATAAGAGTGAAGTTATCTCACGTCTTGCTGGCAGTAGTAGTGTGGGGGTTCGATTCTTGAGATTGAAATTGAACTCCTTGTACATGTAGTGTACATACAACTCTTGTTTCCTGACTTGTTGGAGCACATCTCGCGATTTACCTCCCTCACTAAGCTCTAGGGGTGGGGCGGTGGGGGTCCTCAATGTTGGGGTTAATGATGTGAAGGAAAAAAATTGAATGAAAATATTGACTGTGTTTTTAACTGACAAATGATAAAGTGACATGTGACATTATGTAATCAATTATATAAAGTTTAATATACATGTAGCAAGGTCATTATTATAGTGTATATTATCTATGATGGTAAACAAAATTGGTCACCGACCCACCAATCATTTTAATGAAAATTGTGCATAAGCTAGTCGGAATGTCACAATCCACTTTATATTTAACTAAAACGTGGGATAAATATAATAACATAAATTATAATATATCGATATCTTGATGGGGGCATAAACGATACTTTAACCTTGATAATTTCTATTATTTATTTGTGTTAATTGTTATAGTCAAAATTAATTGACAAAATAAATCTTGGTCGGTTGTCTTATGCGAGCACTTTATGGTAAGTCTACAAGTCTTGCAGAAAATTGGATTTATAAACAAATGGTTGGTATAGTCGAGCATTTCCGCGTCGCCCCTTGAAATTTGTTTGTTTATATTTTTTTAATGATTTTTTTTTCTCAATTTTTAATTGATTTTGGGATAGGATTCGTGGAAGATGCGCATGTTCAGACACCATTATGTAAGCAAGAAGAAAAATGCTAAAGTTATCTCAAATTGAGTCCTCCAACTATTGGAAATTACTGAATTGGTCGTTCAACTATTTATGATTGCAAAAATAATTCTCCAACTTTTGTGATTATTAAGTTGGTAATCCATCTATTTACTACTACGAAATAGATCCTCAAACTTTTCAAAAAATATCAATTTGGTCATTAAACTACTTTTTTTTTCAAATTGAATCCTTTAAACTATGAGAAAATGATTAACTGGTTAGCTGAATTGAGTCCTCCAACTATGATAAATGGTCAATTGGTCACCCAACTATTCAGTACTGCAAAATCAGTTCAGCAGCTTTTAGAAAATATTAATTGCGTTGTCAAACTTTTTACTAATTCTAAATAGGTCTGCTAGCTTTTATAAATTTTGTTATCCAACTATCTTTTATCTTGATCTAAGTCCTTCTACCTTGACGATTAGTAAATTGGTCATCTAACTATTCACTAATACCAAATGGATCCTTAAAACTTTTAGTAAATGTTAATTTGGTCATCCAACTATTTTAGTAATACCATATTGTTTCACCAATTTAAAAAAAAAAAAATTATTTGGTCATTCAACTATTTACTAATTCCAATACCATCCATATCTTTGAGTAAAATTGATTTGGTCATTCAACTATTATTAATGTCGAATTGAGTCCTCTGACAATTAGGAATTAGTAATTTGGTCAATTAGGTATTCACTAATACCAAATAGGTCCACCAAATTTAAAAAACATTAAGGGTGCATTTAGTTTGCGTTTTTGTTTTTAGTTTTGAATTCATTCTTCTATTTTCCGTTTCGAGAGATTATTTTAAGATTACAGAAAAAGTGTTTGCTTTGTTATTATGAAAAATTGAATTCATTGAAAACACTCAAAACGTCAAAAAGTCATTTTGAGTTTTTGTGTTATATATATATTTTTTTTTTCAAAATCACATTTTTAAAAATAACATACAAGACGCATTTTGAGTGTTTTCAAAAACTGAAAACTGAAAATAACCTCAAAATGAGAAACCAAATGCTCCAAAATATTAATTTGGTAATCCAACTATTTGTAATCTTGATCTCATTCAACTGTTCAGTAATAGCATATCCCACCAAATTTATAAATTATCATTCAACTATTCAGTAATACCAAAATTGTCCACCAAATTTAGAAAATATTAATTTGGTTATCAAGCTATCTCCTATTGAGTCCTCCAACTATGAGGAATTATTAAATTGATCACCCAACTACTAACTTGAGTTACATCAATTACTTGTCATCATGGTCTAAATTCCGAGCAGTTCAACAATTACATTTGAAAATCACTGCAATATTAAAGATAAAAAATTCATCAGTCATTAAATAAAAATCAAAATATACATGGCTAAGTGTCTGATTGCCTAATTGCTGGATTATGAATATTGGTTGCTTACATTTGCTAGATTATAATATGTGATTGTTGATTATGATCTGTAATAGGTTGATCTGATACTGATTGTGAATTGAAATTGAGATGATATCAAGCCTTTGGTAAAAAAATGTGCAACTTGAAATCTCTATTAAATTTTAGTCACCTTCTCACAAATAAAATGGGAGTCGACCTCGATATGTTTAATGTGGGCATGGGAAACACGATTACAAGAAGTTTAATTGCATTGTGATTATCATACCAAACTGTAGAAGGAATGTTGGAAATGGTGGGTCGCCCACGTGGGTTGAACCTAATAAGAAGAATAAAGTGGGTTTGGAAGGATTACTTATTCTTTTTGAATTGTGAGTAACTTCTTTCCATCCGACCAACATTGTAACTTCCCAATGTTAATGTGGGAGTGTATGGAAGTTTACATAAGATTTCGCATTCTCTCTTTCACAAGAAATACACATGAAATTCATATGCAAAAATGGTGAAAAATTAAAAAGTCAATAAATCGTATTTTTGGGGCATTCAATCAATTGGAAAAGACACTTGGCTGTGGCCAGGGAACTTCTTCAATTTGATGAAGTTTTAGACCAATGAGATCAAGCAAACTAAGGTAAGTGATTCAACATATTTAATCGCGGAAAATTTTCACTTCAAGTAAGTTTCTACAACCTTGACAGGTAGAAACATGCTCATGTATGAATTTATAAGGAAAAGGAAGAGACATGCGTAAATCTTTAAGCAACATCCGAGTCCAGTACAATTCATCAACAACCATAGCTAATGCTCAGTTTTGAGCCTCTGTGCTTTATCGAGAGACAACGTTCTATTTATTTATTATTATTATTATTTTTTTTTTTTTTTTGCGCACCAAGAGATTAAACAAGACCTTGGAAAATTTCATATCCAGTAGTCAACCGTCGATCAGTAGGATCTCTAGCCCAGGTCAAATTGCATTAGGTGTGAAGACTTAACGATCCTTTTGTCATGTACAAACTAAGATCAATTGTACCTTTAACATAGCTTAAAACACGCTTCGTAGACTTTCATGGGTAGCAAAAGGTGAACGGAGATGTTGGCATAACTTATTTACAGAATAGGCAATTTTTAGAGGAGTTAAGTACTATATTAAAGAACAACAATCTGCCTGTAAGTTGTGGAATCTTGAACAGGTTCATCAATCACACCAGGAATTTTGCTGC